ATTTTTCTTCGTCTTATTTTTCAAATAACTGTCTTCCACTTTTATCTTTTCTCGAACAAACAAAATATTCGCATTATTTTTCCCTCCAAATTTCTAAATAACTTTCTTCAACGAAAAAAAGACTTGACAAAATAATCGATTTTGCCGAAAAGTTAGAAACATTAATTTTGAAACCCAAAACAATTTGAATAACAAAAAAAACTAAATAATCATGTCTAAACCAAGAAAAAGTTATGAACGCGAGCAAGAAGGGAAGAATGAGAGGGTCAAGATGGCTTTGGAAAGAGGACTGTCATATCGCGAGATCCAACTGCTTTGTGGAGTTTCCAAAACAAAAATAGCTAGTATCAAAAGGGGAGAGGAGACAAAGCCAAAGAAGATGGGAAGACCAAAAAACATCAGTGTTAATGTTGCTCAAAGTGTTGTCACACGAACATTAACTAACCCATCTTCTTCTTGTCTTATGGTTTCCAACGATGTTAAAGTTTCTCTTCAAGTGTCTATCGTCTTAGAAAAGAGAACAAATTTGTGTTTGCAAAGCAGAAAAAAATGCCGGCTCTGAAACCATTACACATAACAAAAAGACTTATTTTTGTTAAGAAACAGCTGGCAAACGCAAAGCGTATTTTGACGTGGACCAAAAACACTCTCATTTCCGACGAGAGTCGTTTTTGTTTATACTCTGACGGAAAATATGTTTGGAGAAGACGTGGAGATCTTGATAAGGAGGCGTTTGTGCCAACTCCCAAGTTCAATCGGGGTGTGATGGTGTGGGCAGCAATTGGGAGTCATTTCAAGTCAAAACTCGTTTTCGTCGACGGAACACTGAACGCGGTAAACTATCAAAAAATGTTGGCCGAATCAAGAGTGTTTGAAAACGCGAAGAAAGTGTACAAACACGGGATGGTGTTTCAACAAGATGGTGCAAGACCCCACACAGCGAAAAACACAATTGAATGGTTTGAAGGCTTGGACCCGAAGTTCATGGTTCGACTACTGAAAGAATG